AGGCTTAGGTAGGTGATTGGTTTTTCCATTCCACATAGTGTTGACAGAAACCTCTCAGTGATAATTTATCTGCTGAGAGGGTCTGGGGTCTGATGACTTGGCAGGGATGGCTGGGACTGATAGTGACCAGAGTATGAACATCTGGCCTGTTCAGTATGGTGGTCTCAGGGCAATGGGCCTTCTTACATGGCAGCTCAGGGCTCAGTGAATATAAATTAGCATGACCTTTTATAACTTCCATCCTTGTATAAGGGGCCACAAAGATTCACTTCAGCTCTGTTCTATTAATTGAATCAATTGTCCAGACTGAAAAAAAAAGGGAGGAAGGACATAGACCTCACCTCTCCATTAGAGGAGTACCAGAGAATTTGTGGCCATGTTTTAAAACCACCACACGTAGATAAATGAATTAAAAAACAAATTACTTGTCTTTTACATCCTGTGTATACATAAGAACCGTACTAAAGTTACGTTGTCAGCATAACAGGTGCTGTCCAGTCCTGTCTGTCTAAAGCAGGTTCCTCATAGGCTTCCATTCAAAAGGAATCATTTTATCATTTACTGCTGCATGCCAGGCTAGTCTGCTTCCTTTCACATCCTGTCTCAGTAATGCTTGAAACTGTGGTTCGGTGTACCTCTAAACTTTGGTTTGAGACTAATTTAAGAAAAAAACATTTGGCTTGGCGCCTGTAGCACAGTGGTTACTGCGCCAGCCACATAATACCAAGGCTGGTGGGTTCAAACCCGGCCCAGGCCAGCTAACCAACAATGATAACTGCAACAAAAAATAGCCAGGCTTTGTGGTGGGTGCCCGTAGTCCCAGCTACTTGGGAGGCTGAGGCAGGAGAATCACTTGAGTCCAAGAGTTTGAGGTTGCTGTGAGCTGTGATGTCACAGCACTCTACCAAGGCGACAGATTGAAACTCTGTCTCGAAAAAGAAAAAGAAAAAAAATTTTATTATAAAAAGAAAAAAACATTTGAAGTAGAGAAGCACTGTTTCCATCTCTTCCTTCCAGTATTCATGTGTGCTAAATTCCTTCCTAGCTCACTTTGAAAACTGCCATTTTTAGCAAGTGACTTTGTGATTATTTTTCTTTTCAGGTACCTGTTTCCCAGGCAACTACTGATCCAGCATTTTTGGACCCCTAAACAACAAATTGAATTCCTAGATATCTATCATGCTCTCCGGAAGCAGTCCCACTCAGAAATCCTTAGTTATATAGAAAGGGTCGTCCCTCTCATTTCTGATACAGAACTTCAGTGGCATCTGTCACAAATTTGCACCAAGGTATTTCTCCGGTTAGTCCTTTGTACAAACCAGGCATCTTGGGAAAGCTAGTGTACCCTAAAACTATGTAAGAGGGCTGATAGTACCTTTCCTAACTCCTACCCTTCTCTTACCTCCTCCAAGATACAATGTGGTACCCACCCAGCAAAACATGATATCCTGGTGCTAAGAAAGTGTTTCTCTAACCATCCTCTGGGTATGAACCACCTCCGGACCGCGCACCTGGTGAGCACTGTGCGACCTTCCCTTCTCACAGCCTTCCTTTGTTTCAGATCTTTGTTTTGGGGGGGTTTTTTGGTTTGTTTTTGTTTTTTGAGACAGGGTCTCAATTTGTCACCCCCAGTAGAGTACTGTAGCATCATAGATCACAGCAACCTCAAACTCTTGGGCTCAAGCAATTCTCTTGCCTCAGCCTCCTGAGTAGCTTAAGGTGACCAGATGTCCTACTTTTTAACAATTTGTCCTGCATCCCATGGCGTTTTAAAAAAGTCCCCATTTTTGGAAAGAATGCATGATAAGCTTGGGAACAGCGGCCGATGCAGAATGGGAAGGGAATATACGGTTTTTGGCTGCTGAAAAGCTTAATGTAACTCCATTTGGGAATGAAGAAGTTAATGTAACTTCATTTGGAAATGAAAAGGCTAATGTAAACTCCCTAATCCCCTCCTGGGCAAGGTATCAGAAGGAGATTGGCTCCCTCCCTTGCTTCTAGGTAAGGACAATTAGCTGAGAAGGAGCCAAACTATCTGGAACAAACAAGTAGCCCCTCCCTCTCTAGAGTAAGGTGACCAGATGTCCCACTTTTGGTGGGACAGTCCTGATTTTTAACAATATGTCCTGCGTCTTGTGGTGTTTTAAAAAAGCCCCGATTTTTGGAAAGAATGCACGACAACAGGAAGGGGAATACAGTTTTCAGCTGCCATGTGGCTATTTCGCCAGGATATGCATTTTATATTATTTTTGTTAATTTTATAATGTTAAACTTTAATAATAACAAATTGTTGAGAACTGCTTATCAAAGTTTGCATTGTTGTCAGGCCCCACCCCCCCAATGGTGTCCCGCTTTACCAATGTTAAAATCTGGTCACCTTAGAGTAGCTGGGACTACAGGCACCTGCCACAAAGCCCAGCTATTTTTAGAGACAGGATCTTGCTCTAGCTCAGGCTGGTGTCAAACTCCTAAGCTCAGCCAGTCTACCTGCCTCGGCCTCCCAGAGTGCTAGGATTACAGGGATGAGCCACCGTGCCGGCCCTTGTTTCACATCTTTGTGTGAGGTAATGCTGTTTGCTTTTCCTCTCCTATGGGGTTATTTTACAGAAAGCCTTGAGCCGGGCCATGCTTCTCACACCTTACCTGCCTTCTACCTTGTTGAGACGTCGATTGAAGACTCAGACCGTTGTGATTCATCAACTAGACAAGGCTTTGGCAAAGCTAGGGATTGGCCAGCTAACTGCTCGAGAAGTAAAATCCGTAAGAGCTTGATTGCAACATTAACCCTCAATCCTTGATGGGCTTTTGAGCTCACAGTGGGCTGGAAACTTACAGAGTCTTCTTGCAGTGTTATATCAGAATCCAGGCTCTTTATTCTCTCACCCTGTTTTTATGTCTTTTTTCTCAGTGAGCTTAACCAGGGGGTAGGAATTGCCCACAGTAATTTTGGTTTATATTTCTTTTCTACTGGCACTTCAAAAACCAAGAAAACTGCACTAGAGACCTACTATTTTATTTTTATTTTTTTTGAGACAGAGTCTCACTCTGTCACCCTGGGTACAGTGAGTGCCATGGCTTCAGCAGATGTCACAGCAACCTTGAACTCCTGGGCTCAAACGATCCTCTTGCCTCAGTTTTTCTGCTTCTAGTAGAGATGGTGTCTTGCTCTTGCTCAGGCTGGTCTTGAACTGAGCTTAGGCACTCCACCCACCATAGCCTCCCAGTTTGCTAGCATTATAGGGGTGAGTCACTGCACCTGACTAGACCTACTATTTTAGATTATGTAGGCCTCTTTGCTTATCATCTTGTCTATCACTAGTTCAAATTGTCAAGGGGAGAGGTTTCATGGGGGAATAAGGTTGTAACTTATTTAAATGAGGTTTAGGATTGTTTATGGATTTCCACTTTCTTGGCATACTCACTTTGTCATTATTAAGGACTGTTTCTCTTCTGAATGGTATAGGCTTGTTACCTTCGTGGCCTGAATTCTACCTACGTTGCTGAAGACAGATGTCGCACTTGGCTGGGAGAATGGCTGCAGATTTCCTGCAGCTTGAAAGGTAAGACACATTTCTATGGTCATGCCACTAAAATCCAAGTTACTTCTCTGTTTTATTCTAAGGTTATTCTGAAGTTAATCATTGAGTAGTGTGAGGCTTTTACCTAACCTATGAGTCTTGAAAGGGTACAAATTCAACATACCTGCTGCACATGTGCAGGTAAGAAAGTAGACTTTAAAACAGGGTGTAGTGGGGACTGTGGGGACACAGTGAATGCATGCTAGTCCGGAGATGATTTTCTCAACCATGGCACATTGTTGTGGAGGGCTGTCCTGGGTTTTATAGGATATTTAGCAAAGTCCTTGGCGTTTGTGCACTAGATATCGGTAGCACCCCTTCACCTTGAATTGTGGCAGACAAAAATGTCTCCAGATATTGCCAAATGTCCTGGGATTGTGGGGATGAGAGGAGAGGGGCAGAATTGTCCCAGTTGAGAGGCATTGATCTAACAGCATTCAAACTCCAAACAAAACACTCTGTTGGCTAAACAGAAAGTCTGAGGGCAGGTGTTAGGCCTGTGGGCCTCCAGTTGGTGTTCTGCAGGCCTTTGGATGTCAGGGTAGGTCTATTAATCATCCTAGAGCACCATTCCTTTCACATGAGAATCAAGGTGTAGAGGACAAGCAGACGTGAATACATAGTGGAAGGAAAGGGAAGTGTGCACGCTGGGGCTGAAGTGACATGGGAAACTTGGACAGTAGCTTCTTGATACCACTTCCTGTACCTGGCGTCCTGCCTCCGCCTCGGGTTTCAAGCCCTATACACCATGGCAGTTAGAAGCGAATTGTTCCCTCGATAAATGACTAACATTAATGGTGTTTGCAGAAGCTGAGCTGTCCCTCTTGCTGCACAACGTGGTCCTGCTTTCCACCAACTACCTTGGGACAAGGCGCTGAGTGAATCGTGAAGTGGATGGTATTATCCTGCAGTCACATAATATAGCAGTGTGGGGCCAAACAGCACTTGTCAGCAGAGAGTCTGTGTGCACTGTTTACATGTGTGGGAGGCAGAGGAGCAGGCGCCATGGGCTTCACAGAATGCTACCCACGTGGGAACTACAGACATTCCCCTCACCCTCTTGCCAGGGGGCCCATGAGAGGTATCATCTTCTCTCCCTCGTAGTTAGCTAGAGCTGGCAGCAGCCTCTGTACAGGGCTTCTACCGTGATGTGTTAAGTTCAGGTCCCAGGAAGTCAGCTTGTGCCGCAGGTGGGAGTCCTCATTTGGCCTAGGACTCAACCACTGCCGTTTTGTTAATATGGGGTTTTTCGGTTACAAGGTCTGTGGCTGGAGGGGAGGACAGCACTGCTTGGTCTGGAGCATTTGCATCCAGTGTGTATTTCAGTGCTCCCTCAGTCCCTTCCGAAAGGACCAAAAATATGAAGTTTGATTGTTGTTACTGTTGTTCTTACTGGCATGAGCTAATCTCTTCCTTTCCTTTTCAAATCCCTTGAACATCTTGACTTTTTTTTTTGAATGAATAACTCATGGGAACATTTTAATGGCAAAGATAAAAGGAAGTACAAGTGGTTCTTGACCCCCTTTCCCCAGTTTATATCCTTGACCCTCCATTGTCTTAATTTCTGGGCTGTAGTACAGTCCCTGTGGGTCTTAAAACTCTTTTGCTACCTCCACTGTGTTGCAGTGACCCAACTGTAACTGACAGTGGCTGCCTTCTTTGGGCAGTTGATCAACCCTGGAAGGTACTAATTACTGCCCAGTCTGGGGAGACCTGAAGAGATCTGCATTAAGTTAGTAAGTTGGGTTTAGCTTTTGTGTGTGCATCAGTGACCTATAGTTCTGTAAATTATTGTAAATGCATGAAGCATTGTTTTTAAACCCAAGTAAAGACTGCCTGAAACCAGTTGATGGAAACTTATGTATAATCTAATCATTTAACTAATCTCCTTTTACAAGACTGACATAACCTAACTGATGGGAATTTAATTGTTTAGAATAGAACCTTATGATGGGAAGTTTTAAAGGAACTAATTTTTTTTTATACTAAGTATTTTACTGTCTGCTGCCACCAGTGTATATAAAACAGTTACTCTTGTGAAACAGAAATTCATGAGAATTCAAAGAGAGGTAGATGTTAAGAACTGACAGAAGCAGAAGTTGGTATGTTATGGCACGTGACAAGGATAAGCTTTTGTACAGGCTTCCAATTTAGCTCTCTTGAATATTCACTGGTTCATGAGAAGTGATTTGGGAAACCTTTGAAAGATTCATTTTATTGATTGATTGAGACAGTCTTAAACTGTTGCCCTGAATAGAGTGCTGTGGCGTTATAGTTCACAGCAACCTCCAACTCGGGCTCAGGCAATCCTCTTGCCTCAGTTTTCCTATTTTTAGTAGACAGGGTCTTGCTTTTGCTCAGGCTGGTCTTGAACTCAATAAGCTCAAGCAATCCACCAGCCTTGGCCTCCCAGAGTGCTAGGATTATAGGCGTGAGCCACCTCGCCCAGCCTGAAAGATTCATTTTAGTACAAAAAGGAACAGACTTTTGGGGTCTGAAGGGATTTATACTTGAAGATAACTCTAGTCAGCAGAGGATCATGTTGAGCATTCTGCAGAGTTTTCTCAAGTCTGCAGCTGCCTGGGAAACATTTACGTGGCTGAGCCTGGTCTCCAGCCTGAGCTGTTGAGCCACCTTCTTCACTGCCAAGATCAATGCTGGCACCATGTGATAGCCAGGCCAATTCCTGGGGCGGTGGGTCATGGATTATAGGGACCAGGCAGCTGGGAAGAATTTGAAGTTGACCTTCTTGCAGGACATTTTATGGGATAACTATAGGTAGAATTTTTTTTTTTTTTTTTTGAGACAGTCTCAAGCTGTCACCCTTGGTAGAGTACTGTGGCGTCACAGCTCATAGCAACCTCAAACTCTTGGGCTTAAGCAATTCTCTTGCCTCAGCCTCTCAAGTAGCTGGGACCAGAGGCACCTGCCACAACGCCAGGCTATTTTATTGTTTTAGCTGGCCCAGGCCAGGTTCGAACCTGCCAGCCTTGATGTATGTGGCCAGCACCCTACCCACTGAGCTACGGGCGCCACCAGTAGAATTTCTTATGTAGAAAGTTAATGGGGCGGTGCCTATGGCTCAAAAGGGTAGGGCGCTGGCCCTGTATGCCAGAGGTGGCTGGTTCAAACCCAGCCCCAGCCAATATTCCTGCACTCTGGGAGGCTGAGGCTGGTAGATCTCTTGAGCTCAGGAGTTTGAGACCAGCCTCAGAAAGAGCAAGATCCCGTCTCTACTAAAAATAGAAAAACTAGCTGGACATTGTGGTGGGCATCTGTAGTCCCAGCTACTTGGAAAGCTGAGGCATTAGGATTGCTTGAGCCCAAGAGTTTGAGGTTGCTGTGAGCTATGATGCCACTGTATTCTACCAGGGTGACAGAGTGAGACTGTCGTTTAAAAAAAAAAAAAAGTACCTATTATTAACATTACTTCCTAACTGATCTAATGAAGTTTTATATACAAAGCTAGAGAGGCATCCTTTCTCTAACAAGCAGCTGAATTGTGGCCTGCCAACATAAAGAATAAGACACCATTCTTTTGAATATTTCTTTAATATTACATTTAAATATTCTTTTTTAAATACAGCATTATCACAATGTAAAGAACCTAAAAGGCAAAAACAAAAATTCTTTTCAGAGAACCAGACAAGCTTTGGATTCACATTGAAAATACTACTTGTGTACAGTATGTGAGAAAGAAAATAGGAAAATAATAATAATCGCTGTAGTAAGAGTCATTTCTTTTATCTAGGCCTAGACTGAGTGGAACTAAAACTGTCTGCTTCTGTGATCAGAGGCTTAGTTTTCCTAGCAACCATGAGCTAGAATTCTGTCCAACTCAGGTAGCACCAGAAATGAGATGGACTAGGTTGTAGAGAGGCCCTTTGCTTGACGAGACAGTTAATGCTAAATGTTAATATTTAGCATTCAAAGATTTGGGATTTGTGAGTCAGAATTGTAGAGTTAAAGAAGAGATGGACTTAGATTAAGAAACTACAGTTTTTCAGAATATCAAATATCTCATGAGTTGGCAATGAGTTTAATAATCACAGATTCATATTCCTGGTTTTGATCTGAAAGGCTAATAATCCTTTATTGAATAGCTGGAATCTACTTCTTAATTAAGCTGGAACCTGCTTTTGGAGGGTAGACCTTACCCTCCCCTTCTGACACAAACTTTCAAAGATTCTTCACCCCATAGAGCCAAATTCCCAGTTAAGCTTCAGTCTTGTATTTTGAGGGTACCAGTCTCAGGTAGGGGAGTGTAGCTCAGTTCTTGATAGCGTCTATATCTCAGGTACTTATGAGGCTATGGGATGGGGAGAGATAAGGACCTATGTAATTAAGGACTTCCCTCCAAACATAAAAGCAAGGAAAACCAGGAATGAAGAGGAAAGGCAGATGGGCTAAAAAATGTATCTGTATTAAGTACAAGGCCTTTCAGACCAGAGTTTAAGTTAGAGATTTTATAGGTAAAATGCTGCTGTGACATACATGAAGGTTGATTTAAGACACCAGGGCCTTAGTATCCCACAAAAAAAGGCTTATGAGCAAGATAAGTACAAATAATTATCTCCCTACACATACAAAGTTTTCCACTTTTTTCTTTTCTGGCTAATAAACCACACCAGCAGGGAAGCACAGTGTGAAGGATGCTAGAGAAGAATAGTGTTTCGTTTCCCACCGTCTCCGTTTTAAAACAGAGGCAAGGGCAACTTTGCTAATTAAAAAAAGATCAATGGTGTTCATTGGAGCAGACCTTGGAAAATAAGCTGGACTCATAAGGAACAGGAACCGTTATCTCCCCCGACAGAGGTAAGAATTTAACTCACTTTGAGTTCATTCTATAGAAGTCAGAGGTTATAATCAGAACTTGAATCCTTTGGAACCTTAAGAATTGGGTTGGCTTCCAAATTTTTATGTATCATTGAGATGGAAGGATCCAATAAACATTTGGAATTCTTGGGGACGAACCTGGAATCCTAAGAACTCTCTAACCCCGTGTATCCAAGAAGGACAAAGGTAGATACAGAAAAAAGAACAGAAACTAGGTGGTGACCTTAGATTGCCATATCCCACATTCCATTAAAGCTCAGATCTCCCAATGAGGGAAGAAAACCTGGGTGAAAAAAGCAAGCATGGCACAAATAAAAGTCATCCTTCCAGACAGCAGCCTGTCCCTGCTGTCTCCTTTGGACACAGTTAATGCTGCACACAGCCTTCCCGTGCGTTGGGTGAGCCCCCGCCTGGAGCTGTCTGACAGAGCTAGTGTCAGACATGTACAGAAAACTCAGGCTCTTTATACCACATCCCCAGACAATCGATCTCTTTTTCTCCAAAGGAAAAAGGATGGAGGGGAAAAAAGACAAATAGACAAATTGAACTCTAGTACCTAAGAACATGTGAAAGGAACAATTCAAGTTACAGACCAGGAATCCCCAGTGTGGGGAACAGGTCAGAGAACACCAAACATGTCAAATAGTAACTTATATACCAAACAAGGGGTTGGAAAAAGGCAGGTTAAATTTTTATAAATGTTCGAGGTTTTTGTACAGAAGCAGAGACCCTTCCACCTCTTTCTCTAGGTTTGACCAGGTGACATTTCCAATTACGGTATTAAGATGTACCAACATGAGATATTCGAATAGCCACTGAGAAAAGTAAACTTGTCCCCACCTGGAGCTCAGGAAAGAAGGGACTTTGCCATGCTGTTTAAATTCTCATGTTCTGGTCCCTACATGAAGAACAGCTGCTTGAATTACCCAGCTTCTCCTGTGCAATCCTAGTTCTTTGTTCCAACGGCCCAGAAAGCTCAGTATTCAGCACTACACAGGCAGCCTCCTCTGCCTCAAGACTATCCCCAGATCACGCTGGGACTAGTCTCCTTGGTACTGTTTCCCTTTTAAAAAATACTTGTACAAAGAATCTTTTCCCAACCATTCCCCAAACACCTCAATAAAATAACCTGGGAGCAGCAGCTGCTTCTACAGTTTTGTTTTGAAATGGCATTAGATAAAATAAGGGAATAAATAAAGAATGGGTAAGAGGCAAAATCTCCATCCTCACTCACACTGCCAGAGGGAGTTCTAGGGAGGGATCTTCAGGGGGCTGATCCTCACTCTGCTGTGAGGTCTCCTCTCCACTGTCCGTGTGGAAGGAAAGGTTTGAGGAGGACCAAGAGGGGCGGAAGTCTTCATTCTCAGGCTCCTCAGGGTTACAATCTTCAGGCAATAGCGCTTCCAGAGTGGGGGTTTTCCCCACCTCTGATTTACAGAGAGTAGCTGGGTCTGTGGGGCTACAAGCCATCAGTGAGGTAACAGGGAGAGAGAAGACACTCAGATCCTTCTCTTTGGGGAAAGAGGCTGGGCCGCCTTCTGCACCAGGCTCTCCTTTCACTCCCAAGACTGGCCTCTGTTCTACCTGATAATAGACCAGAGGCCCACTGTTCAAGTAGGATGGGCTGTTCACCGTGGAGGCAGTTGGGTGGTCTGAGTTCTCGGCAAAACACAGGACAGAGGAGCCTGGGGGCAGCTGAGCCTGGATGAGAATGGGGGCTGTAAGGCCTGGGCACAGCTCTTCGGGAACAGCAAGGGGCTCCTCCAGAATACACACGCCCAGGCTCTCAATGCTTGAGTCCAGGCTGGCACTAGAGCCACTGGCATCCTCCTCCGCCTTAAGCCGATCCAGCTCCTCTGCACTCTGCAGGTGCATCACCGCAGTCTCGTTCTCAGCAATGAACTCCTGGAAGTCCTGCGTCTCAGAGGCCTGTGCTGTTGTCAGGCTGCAGCCGGCAGTGGGTGAGGGATCCTCATCCGGGCCTGCCGGGCGGCTCCCCTGCCGCTTGCTCTCCAGCTCCAGCTTCATGATGGTGTGGAGGTAATGAGTCCTGACCCGGATGGGATTAAACTCAATGCGCCCAGCCATGTTTCCACAGCCATCTCGGGAGCAGCCACAGGGAAATGACATGCGATCTACCTGAAAGGGGACAAGGAGGTTGAGGCAAGATGAGACCAACCAAAAGATGTAACAATGGAGTTAGGAGATATTGGCTGGCAAACACAGGCAGTGGGGTTTGAGGTCTTAGAAAAATAAAAGCATCCAATTCAAAACAACATGCAGTGTGAGCTGACAGCGTTAGATGGTAGTTACCAGACCACTTGTGTTGCAGTTCCAGCCATTAGTTAGTGGTGTGACCTCAGAGTCATTTCTTTCTAGGGCTTTGTTGCCTCTTCTAAATAAGTAGATAGTTGGGTATGGTGGCTCACACCTGTAATCCCAGCACTCTGGGAGGCCGAGGTTTGTGGATTGCTTGAGCTCACAGGTTTGAGGCCAGACTGAGCCAGAGTGAGCGGTTGTCTCTAAAAATAGCTGGGTGGCCCGGAGCTCTGGGTAGGGTGCCAGCCACATACACCAAGGCTGGCAGGTTCAAACCCGACCCAGGCCAGCTAAACAACAATGACAACTGCCACGAAAAAATAGCCAGGCATTGTGGCAGGTGCCAGTAGTCCCAGATACGTGGCAGGTGCCTGTAGTCCCAGCTGAGGCAAGAATCGCTTAAGCCAAAGAGCTTAAGGTTGCTATGAGCTATGACACCACAGTACTCTACGAAGGGTGACAAAATGAGACTCTACAAAATAAATAAATATAGCCGGGTGTTGTGGCAGGCGCCTGTAGTCCCAGCTACTTGGGAGGCTGAGGCAAGACAATCACTTGAGCCCAACGTGTTTGAGGTTGCTGTGAACTCTAACACTAGAAATGAAACTTTGTCTCAATGAATACAAAAAGGTACACAAAAATCACATCAAAAGGTCCTTGTGGCTAAAAACTGCAGAAATACCTCTTTGAATGCTGAGAGTTCTCACAGGAGAAATTTATATGCCCCAGAAACATGCCCTGGATACTTATTTATTTTTTTTTTTTTTTTGAGACAGAGTCCCCCTCTGTCACCCTGGATAGAGTACTGTGGCATCATCATAGCTTACAGCAACCTCAAACTCTTGGGTTCAAGTGATCTTCTTGCTTCAGCCTCCTAAGTAGCTGGGGCTACAGGTGCCCACCATGCCATCTGATTATTTTTGTTAGAGACAGGATCTGTCTCTAGCTCAGGCTAGTCTCAAGCAAACCACTCACCTCTGCCTCCCACAGTGTTAAGATTACAGGCATGAGACACTGCACTCAGCCTGCCTTGGAGACCTCTAGAACTTACCTCATTTACTAAGACAACAAAAGGCAGGAGGCCTTCTGCAATGACAGCCATGGGAGAGGGAGTGGACAGTTTTACTAGTTCTAAGCAATACATTGTAGGGAAATGTAAACCAAAGTGCCTTAGTTTGCTAAGCTGCCAGGATGCAGATTCAAACAAATAATGGCCAACTTTTTCACAACTTGCTTTATTTTTCTCTGAGGGTTGACTGGTTTAGTTCTGAAGCAGTTACCACGACAATTAACTTACAGACCAGGGACATCTGGAAGGAAGATGCTTTCTACCTCATTATCTCTCACATTCCAGACAGGAAAACAAACACATACCAAAAAATAAAAATAAACATGTACAGATATACAATGTCTTTTTATGATATAAACTTATTGAAATCTTCACTCCAGTCCCATCAGTTCTTAGGAATGCTCTCAGGTGTGTGTGTAACAGAATGATTCATTAGGGAACTTCAGTCTGTAAAGCAGTATTTGGCCGGATCTGCTACAGCAATTTGCTGCCTAACTAAAAATAAGAAAAGGTTGGTTAGGAAAATCCAACCACAGGACACAGCATCCATACCCTCAGTATGTAAATTGCAGATTTATTTCATTCTTTGGGATAGTATTGCTGAAGAACTGAAACGTGTCTTCTTAATTGTCCCTTGGCGGACGCCAACAACAGGATGATACTTTTCTTTCAGAGAACTGGATGTAAGCTCTGTCAGGCCAAGTCTGATCCTGAATTATAGGTTCTGAAAACTATTTTGATTCTTACAAAACTGGGGTACAGGTACTGTGGATAATTATCTGCAGATAGAATCTACAGGCCCACCTCATTTCTCTGCTTTCTTTTATCTCAAGGATTAAGTTGGTATTTAAGGAACAGTTATTAAATGTTGAACATACTGACCCCGTGCTTCCCTCTGCTAGTGGCTGTGGCTTAGCACCTGTGAGGTGTGACGCACACAAAAGATAATGGGTGTCTATCTGCAGTCTGAGGATCCTGTCACACCTGTCTCCCTTGTTAGAGGAGGAGAGTTGTGGAACTGGGAAGTGCCTCGGGTCAGCAGCTTCCCGTGTTCATAGGCACCCCAACATACCCCCGACCTTGGTGTAGGCATCCCGACTCTGGCCAACTTGGACTGACCTGACATTTAATCCCAGCCTGGCTACAGGCGCATGCTTCTGGGTCACAGTACAGTCGACAGTCACAACCACACTCTTCCCGTGACAGGCGGATGGCTCGAAGTTCTTGCTTCTCCTCGGCATCAATGCGGTGGACCCCAGAAGCCCTCAGCAGGGCCCGTCGCCGCTTGGTGGGCAGAGGCTGCAGGAAGAAGTAATCATCCACTTCCACGTTCTCCACATCAATGTCTTCATCAGACACGTCATCCAGTGTCAGGCCATCAGCCTCCACAGACTCTACTGTCCCATTCTTGGTCAGCTGCCAAGTAACAAGAAAGGTTAGTCCCTTGAGCACCAATGACACTGACCTCACAGCAGTCACACGGAACAGCACTATCTGGTGAACTTTCTGCTGATGGGACTATCTGTGGTGCCCAACATGGCAGCCAAGAACACACACATGGCTACAGAGCACTAGAAATGTGGTGACTGAAAACTTCAATTTTTAATT